CGCTTCGGCAGCTTTGCCTTCCCGCCTCCCACCCACCTGCTGCCGCTCCTTCAGTTTGCCTTAAAACCACGTGTTTTTACCAGGAAGCCCATTCTTGCTTAATTTGGGGTACGATGGCGAGGTCCGAGCCCCCGGCATCGCTGCGCCCCGGCTTCGTCCTCGGTTGCATCACACTGATGGGGTTTCTCTTTGAGGTCCCAATTATGGGACCAAGTCGGTGTCGTGCCCATCGGCATCGCATCGTTTTTGGGGACAGCGGCTGACGCTCGGCATTGCCATGGGATTTGCCTTCTAAAATGGCCAAAAAGGCCAGGGGAAAGTCACATTTTGGTGGATTTTATGCCTTTTTTTCAAGGGAGGAGACCTCGAGGACTTGCTGCCCTGCTTGAACCAGTTCAGGTCACCCCTAGAAGTTTAGGACATGCCAATACATTATCCGGTTGCGTGCAGACACCGAACCCCCGGGGGTTTTTTGAGGATGGACGATTGCTTTTTCTTACGACCGTTTAATTGTGCAACGGTGCTTATCACCGCTGACGGCTCCTGAGATTTGCTGCCTTCACCCCCTTGCTTGTGCAAGGCCAGTCTTGTGCTTCATGACTTCTCTTTTTAGCAGATTTCTGAAAATATCCGAGTTCCCGTAATGCTAAAGCGGGGCAGGACGAGCCGTAAAACCCCCGGCCAGCTGAAACACCAGCTTTTTTGCGCAACCTGCTGAATTTGTTAAGATTAGCGAGCGTCACTTTGCTTGGTGACACGGGATTTTGGTGGGTCGTTGGCTTTTAGCAGCCTCCATCAAAAACCTGTCCGTCTGTCTGATATAAATCTGATTTTTTTAATGGGATGGAAATCTGAGCAGTGGATTCATGCCCAAGGTGCTGGCACAGGGTTGATGCTGTGCAGAGGTGCTGCATGGTATTAACTTTAACCTCGATATTTAACCTCATTTAAGAAAAAGGGATTTCAATTAGTCGGACATGCAGAGGGTGGCAAAACCCGAAATGATTTAATTTGCTGCCTAACAAGGCAGAAAAATATATACAGCGTGGAGATGGCATTGCTGGGGGCCGGGGAGCCGGAGGCGTGGGCGCCCACCGGCGGCAATGCCTCCGAATGGGTCCCTGCGTCTTGTAATGCTGATTTGTATTTTATTTTTAATTTTTTTTTAAACCTGAAACAGGACGGAGTCACCGTGTTTTCCTGCCGAAGCCTTGCAGTTCGGTTCGAAGCGGGTTTGCAAGGAGCTAACTTCATCCTGCTAATTCTGGCGGGTGGTTTGCACAGCAGCCGCTGCTGCCTCCTGCGCACCTGGCTTCGTAATTCATAACCTTGCCAAAAACCGCGTGGTTTTGAGCAAAATCCACTGAAGTCAGGGCTCTTGGTCGTACTCAGTGGCTGCAGGGCCGTATCCTGCACCTCGCTGATGCCAAACTCTCCAAGTGAGGTTTTTGGACCCTCCTGGGAGCCTCCCTCGTGTCTCATCGTCCTAATTGCTAATTAGGAGAGGAAAATACTCGTAAAAGCCAGAGACGTCGTGAGATGGCTGGGCAGGGTCGGGACAGCCGGAGTGACGGCGAGGGGGGGGATTTGCATGCTGCAGACGGAGGATTTCTGTGCTTGGGGATGCACCCGTGTAGCAAGGATGCTCAGCAAAGGTGCAGGCTGTGGGCTTTCTGTTTGGGTGGCTGCTGCTGAAAGCAAGAGCTGGAGCCTGATGCCCTCACCCAAAACCGTTACTGGAGCGTGTGTAGCACCTAGAGCCAGAGCTGCAGCCGGCGATGCAAATTCCCATGTGCTAAAAGCCTTCTGACGCGCGCACGGTGCTATTGAATTCAAACCTCCAAGTCATCTCCAAATCTGCCGGGCAGCTTGGAGGAGGGAAGGGGCAAACCACTTTGCCAGCCCAGGCCAAGCCATGGCCCATCTATCACCTAGCGCCAGAGCTGCAGCCGGCGATGCAAATTCCCATGTGCTAAAAGCCTTCTGACGCGCGCACGGTGCTATTGAATTCAAACCTCCAAGTCATCTCCAAATCTGCCGGGCAGCTTGGAGGAGGGAAGGGGCAAACCACTTTGCCAGCCCAGGCCAAGCCATGAAAAGAAATTCGGTGTATCGTGCCTAACGACACGTACTTTGCGGCGTGTGATTGCGGCAAATAGCTGCTCTTAAAAATTGGCAGCCTTTGCAGAGCCCCCCAGCTCATTTAAATGTAGTTAAAATTGCCTTCCATCTTGCAAACGGGCACGGCTGGATGGGTTTGCCCTGGCTGGGAGATGGGTCAGGCAAGTCATCGAGCCCCCGGTTCCTCTTTCCCCTTGGTCTGTGTCGTGGTGCTGCTGGGTTTTCTGGAAGAGCTTTTCCCTCCCCTTGCAAGACCCAAGGTATCCCAAAAGTTTTATATTGCAATTCCCCCGGGGCCATGGACGCCGGCAGGATGCGTTTGTGGGGGGAGATGAGCTAAATTACCCAGCCCCGCTCTTCCCTCGGTGGAAGAGCATCTTCATCGCATTTAAAACAGCCTCATGGCAAAGGGGTTGGGGACGTCGTCCCTCTTGGAGGGGCTTTTCTCTGTGCGAGGAGTATTTGGGGTTTGTTCCTAAGCCCGGCTAAAGGTGTGAGGTTTAGGGGTGGATACGGGCATTGCTGCCTGCTGCTCCCTGGGGACAGAGGAGTCTCGATGGGGTCGTCTTAAGTTGGATGTTGGGTTTCTTCACTGGAGGAGACCAGGCTACAGCAACGTAGATGAGATGGGGAACACGGTGCTGTTTATTTTAAGTCTAATGTGTCGTGTAGGTGATACCGGCATCTCTTTCCAGCTTCAACCAAGGTGCAGAAGACATCAGCCAAGCCTGTAGTAATGCACTTTTCCTTTGTGTCTCCCTGTTCAGGCTAAAGGACCTCGAGGTGGCCGAGCTGGGGGACTCCGATGTCCACGTCAAGATGTTGGCAGCCCCCATCAACCCCGCCGACATCAATATGATCCAAGGTAACGCGCCGGCTGCATCTTCTTTGCATATTGATTCTTGCGGGATGCTCCCGGTGGGATGTCTCGGAGGGTTTGGAGCCAGCTCCTGGGATGGGGAGGTCTGGGGTATGACGGGTTCCACAGCTCACCTCTGGCTTCCCGGCAGGGACCTACGCCATCCTCTCCCCGCTGCCGGCCGTGGGAGGGAACGAAGGTGTTGGGGAAGTGCTGGAGGTCGGGCGTCGTGTGGCGGCTCTGAAACCCGGGGACCGGGTCATCCCGGCGGGCGCCGGCCTCGGTAAGTGCGTACCCCGGCATCCTCGGTGCCAGGAGCCACGGCACCGCTGGATCCTTGCTCACTGGCAAGGTCCTCCTCTGCATCCCCCCGCCTGCAAAGCATCTTCTCAGGGGATTTTTGGGATGCTTGAGCCCGCCGGGAGCTGCCCAAGCCTGCACGGAGAGCAAACCTGTGGTCGTGCTCTCATGCGAACCGATGCCTGGGGAGCTGTTGTGGGGATTTTGGGGGTCCCAGAGCAAAACCGCTGCTCTCCAAAGCACCATTTTTGCTGGGTGTGGGTAGAGCCACGTGCCCCTCCCGCTTACAGCAATTACATCTAATTGGATGTGACTTAAAATGGGAAAAAAAAAAAGCTCCATTAGAGAATGTTCCGCGCGAGGGAAGCAGCAGTTGGAACCCATTTAGTGCCGTATTAGCGTAATCATCAATATAATGAGCTGGATGGTCTCAGACTAGAAGCATCGGGATAACCGCTGGAGCTGCACAAAGGCATCTTCATTTCTTACCTGTTTATATCTTGGTTTTAAGTTTTATTCTTTCTGCCATGTATTTTTATTTTTAATGGTTTGGTTTTTTTTCTTTAAAGCGAGCTCGATACCTCAGCTCGATCCCCAGCCACAGCGGGTGATGCTGCTGGTCCTCTGCGGAGGCAGGGGGGCTGCGGGGAAGGATGGGGGTCCCCGGGGAAGGGGCTCCTGTGCACGGGACACATGCAATGCAAAAACCCGGAGCACTTGCAGTAGGAGCGGTAGCGATGCCATTGCGTATGCTAAACTTGAGTTTAGAAATAATCTGCTTTTCTATAGCATAGGCCTTTTATGGGGCTTCCGCGCCGTTATAAAGCATCGCAGCAATCTGTTCTTCTCTGGAAACAACCGCGTTTTGTCACATCTACTTAGACCTTCTTTAAAGACCCAGGATAAAGCATTTAACCTGTGCAAGGTCATGGTTACATCTCATTACAGTTTTCTCCTTAATAGTGCTCTGATGGGAAAGCACGGGAACTTATTTTCCAACAAATGTCTCTTGTGCTCCTCCAAAATGCCAAGGGCCAGAAAAATTGTCGGTTCTGGTTTGGTGTAACAGCTTGTTCCTTGCCTATTTCTTCTTAAAAGGCTTTTTTGCTTAATGGGAGAAGGAAAGCTATCTAGTTAAGATCCAAATGTGATATTTTTAAGCATTAAAAAAAAAGTAAATGAATGATAGGGGGTTAAATCGGATATAAATATAGAGAGACTAAATCTAAGTAAATTGGCTTTGACTATATGGGCTCATCCGTAGCATGGGGAGTATTTCCATTAGCTCTGCACACACTCCCCGTGCCCATTTCCCATTTTCCTCTGGGAAATGATTAGACTTTGCTGGGTGATAAATCTCAGTGGGCAGCAGGGGATCCATCCCCTGCCTCTCGCAATATTTTGGTCATACCCATACGGGAAAATGTTTCATAATTCACTCTCCAGGATTTAGACGGTGCACGGTGTGGTGATGCTGCAGCGACCGGCGTTAAGGCTATGGCCTGAGCTGAGGTCTCATAACATTTTCCTTTCCTTGCCCACCTTCCTGCTGCTCTGCCCGCGCTGGCTGCGATGCTGCCGGTACCCCAGGGACGTGGCGGACACAGGGGGTGTTTCCCGAGGAGGTGCTGCTGAAGGTGCCCAGCGACATCCCGGTGCTGTGCGCCGCCACCCTGAGCGTCAACCCCTGCACGGCATACCGCATGCTGGCCGACTTCGAGACCCTGGTGCCGGGTAAGGCTTTGCAGGGTGGAAAGAAATCCAGGTGGATTTGCCAGTCGCTTCTGCAATGAAAATCTGAATTTATTTATATCCAGGTGACTCCGTCATCCAGAACGCCGCCAACAGCGGCGTGGGCCAGGCTGTTATCCAGATTGCCAAAGCCTCTGGCATCAAGACCATCAACGTGGTGAGGGACAGGTGGGTCCCCTGGGAAAGGAGAAGGTCTCCTGCGGGGCAGGAGCTGCCCTTGGCCTGGGCTGGAGGTTGGCATGAGGTCAGGCAAGTTTGAGAGCTGGATCGGGTCATCCTGCCCATCCAACCCAGGATTTTCTCCTGTTTGCTCCTCCAAGGTATCCTCCAGCCTCTGCCCTGTTGTCCCCAAGCTACGTCTGAGCAGGAGGGAGGAGAAGGTGGCACTCTGCTTTCTGGATCATCGAGGCTTCTTTTTATTTTCCTCCCCTAGACCTGATCTCCCAAAGCTGGTGGAGAGGTTGATGGCCCTGGGCGCAGACCACGTCGTCACGGAGGAGATGCTGAGAAAGCCAGAGATGAAAGATATATTTAAGGTACCTCAATGCTGATCCCACTGGAGAGACTTGTCTGGGGCTGTCCCTGCGGTTCAGCGCTGCGGGGAAAGGTGCAGGGATGGTGGGAAGGACAAATCTCTCTCTAGATCAGGATTTAGCCCCAGAAGTTGAGCACTTTTGCTGCTACCGCAAGGGCCAGATCATAGATTTTAGCTCTACGACTCTTAGTTGCCCCCAGGTAAATGTTGAGGTTAAGGCAGTTGCTCCCTCAGGAACCGCAGTCCCATCCTCAGAAGGAGCCCTAAAATCTGGGAACCTTCTTAATAAACTCTTGCAGAGCATCCCGAAGCCCCGGCTCGCCCTGAACTGCGTCGGAGGCAAAAGCACTACGGACATGCTGCGGCATCTGCAGTAAGTTTGGCTGGGTGGTGGCTTGGGCACGGGCTCGGGGACAGCAGCTGGCACCGGAGGGTCCTGCTCCAGAGCCCCCAGAGTGCAAGAGGTGGCCGGAGATGTTGTTAGCTGATGTTGGTCGTCATTGAAGTTTTGGAGAGGGGAGATGAGTGGAAAAGAAGTGGTTTTGGAAAATAGCAGTGACTTAAAGTTAACCCATCATCACCAACGCTGCCGGCGGCTGGAGGCAGCTGAGGTCCAGTTAGGAAGGTCCACCAGGTCCTGGCCAGGTATAACGGGTGTATTTAGCTGCAAATTCACCTAATGGTGCACGGGAGCGAGAGGGGAGCTCTGGAAAGTGGAGTCTGAGGGGGAACTGGGGGAACCCTTGGTGCGAGAACAGCCCCGTCGGTGCAGCAGTGGGGTTGGGTACGGCAGAGGGAGAGGTTGCGAGGTCAAAGCTGCACGTTGGGGACCGCATAACCGAATACCCCCTTCTTCTTCCAGGCCCAAAGGGACCGTGGTCACCTACGGGGGGATGGCAAAGCAGCCCGTGACGGTGCCTGTGGTGAGTACTGGGGATGCTCTTCATTTCCCTCGGGGCATGTCCCCTGTGCCCCGCTGCTGACGTCCCCGTCCCTTTGGCACCGCAGGAGCTCAGCTCTCGCCTGCCTACAGCGAGAGGGTTCATCTTCTGCCGCTGTCAGCTGCTTGGATGTCAAATTCAGAGCCTCCAACCTTCTTTTTTTGTAACTGATGGGGTCCGTTACGGGACGAGCCACTTTGCATCCCAGCGCGAGTCTCTTGGCTTTATTTATGGAGGATTTGGGCTGCTGTGAAATCCCAGCAGGGAAATGGCTCCGCAGACGCCAAGCATCAAACCTGCCCTGACTCCACGCCTCGGAGTCGCATCTCTGCATCCCCGCTGTGCCCTGACTCACAAATGAGCGGGCTAACGAAGGAGCGAGGAGCCTCATTGCCACCTTCCACCGCTGTCACGCTGGGAGAGGACAGGTCTCACCTGGGTGCGCGGTTCCCTTTCTCCGCAGAGCGCGTTCATCTTCCGGGACTTGCGGCTCCGCGGCTTCTGGATGACCCAGTGGAGGAAGGACCACGCGCAGGGTGAGCCGGATGGGTGCTGAGGGACGGCACCGGTGCGGCGGGTTGGCATGGGAACGGGTTGCTGACCCGCCATGCCGGTGCCGTCCTCTTTGCTCTTACTTGTGTCATGAGTGCTGATAGTCCTCAGGGAGGCTGAAACGCCGGTGCTGGGCGGTGTGGCTCGGGCAGGGACCATGCCACCATGCAGGGGGCTCTTGCCCCATCCCACGTGCCCAAGCTGGGAGCACATCGCACCCTGGCATCCCTGGGACCCTGTAGGGCTTCAGGCGGGCGTTTGCCGGGGACGGTGGGTGGCTCTGGCACGGCGCAGGCGCGGGACGCGCAACGGTGAGAGCCCCCTCCTTCCCTTGCAGACCAGGAGGGCCTGGCCAGCATGATGGACGCCGTGTGCCAGCTCATCCGGAGGGGGCAGCTCACCGCGCCGGCCTGCACCGAGGTCCCGCTCCAGGACTACAAGGCAGCACTGGAGGCATCCATGAAGCCCTTCACGTCCTCGAAGCAGATCCTTCTCCTCTGACCCCCCGAGGCCTCGGCTCGTGGGCAGCGGCGGGCTGAGCCCAGTGCTGCTGCTCTCCACCACAGCCAAGCTTTCCCTTGCTGCCTTGTCCGCAGACAAGAGATGCTTAGGGGAAAAACCTCCAGATCCATTGATTTTTCTTTTCTTCCTTTTTTTTCTTTTTTTTTTTTTTTTTTGAGTGCCCACTTGAAGTTTTAAAAGCCTCTGCAGCTTTGCATAGACAGCAGCGTGCGTAATTGCTTCTGAAGGGAGGCTGCAATCTTGCTTTAGCTGGCGTGAGTTCGGGTGCAAGAGAAAGCTCAGGGAGCCCGGGGACGGCGGCTCGCTCGGCTCAGGGTGTCAAAAGAGCAGCAGTTCCCCCTCACCTGTGTTTTTGGGGCTGGGGGGGGCTGAGCCGTCGCCTCCTGCCTGGCTTAGCAGCTGGGCAGTGTTCTGCTGTTTGCACTGTCCCTCCGGGTGATTTTTGGCTGCTTTTGGGTGACTGCAGGGCAGCACGGGGCTGGTCGCTGCCCGTCTCCCAGCCGGCACGGCCCCCCCTGCGCCGCTGCAGCCTCTGAGCCACTTCCACGTGTGTCCCCCCCCCTCCAAGTTCAGCAGCCAAGTGCCCCTGGGCTGGGGGCACTCCCCACATTGAATTGCAGAGAAAAACCAAATTTTTAAATTTATTTTTCACTATTTAATTTTTTTTTTTTTAATTTTTCCCTGCCCAGCCCATGCGATGCTGGCAAGGCAGGGGCAGGAGACTCCCGTGCAGGCTGGAGGACGGGGGCACAAAGGACTTTTCCAGCCCCTGGCATCACTTCATCTCAAAAATGAACTCAAACAGGAGGGGAAAAAAAAAAAGAGAAATATGAAGTTACCAAGTACCAGCCAGCGCTGCCGCACCAGCGGGAGCTGTAAGACGCTGTCGTCCCTTCGGGGACAGCCCTGGGGTGGTGGCGTTCAAGGTGGGGTCAGGACTCACCCAGCAGGTCACAGCTGGACACTTGCAGGGCAAGGGGGACTTTTTGCAATACCTGGACTTGAATTCAGTTTTGCTGCTGTTCCCGCTGCTACTACTGATCGTGACAAGAACCTCTTGGAAATCAACTTCTAATATACATATATTTTTTTTTAAGATGCTGCTAATAAATGTTTCTGTGCTCAGTCCGGCGTGTGAGGGTGTGCAGGGGCTGCGCGGCATCAAGAATGGGCAAACACAGCGCACCGGGCTCCCCTCCTGCCTGGCCCTTTCCACGTCCTCAATCCTGGGAATTTTCCATCCTATAAAGCTTTAATTACAACTGCACGTAAGCAGTTAGTGCCCTGCTAAAAGCGGCTGCGGGATGGATGTGGTTTTGGGCAGACAGGGCTGGCTCTGCCCCATTAGCGCCCGTCGGGCACCAAAACCAGCATTTCTTGCCCCAAATCTGTGCCCCCAGACAGACAAAGACACATTTCCCCCCCCATTTATTGCAATGGGAAGGATGAGGCCCATCCTCAGGGCAACAGGGCAGGGGGACAAGAGCTGTAAGTCCCTTCAAAAGCCATTTTGAAGCAACACGCCGTTCATTTTAATTTCAATTTTTGGTCTTAATTTCAATATTCAGCGGGGGGGGAAGCTGCTGGTGATGTCCCTTAGCTCCGTGGCCAGCAAAGCCCTGGGGCGAGGGGCTGGTGCCTGGGTGGGGGGACGCCTGCCCGGCCTTTCGAGGTCCATTGCAAGCGGCAGAGAAACCCCAGGTTATTTATTCGCCCCCAAATTGGCGGCCACCCCTGTCCCTCTGCTCGCCCCTGGGTTCAGGGTTGGAAGAGGACGGTCCTGAGCTGCAAGGAGATGAGGTGCTGTGAGTGCGATACACGCCTTTACCCCTTCTTCCCACAGTGGCTCCACCAGTAAAGCCAGAGCCACAACCAGTCTCATCCGCACTCGCCAGAAGAGTGAAAATCCCGAAGGTGTGCTGTAAAGCTTCGTAAAACCCAGTGGCAGAATAAGTGGGGGGAGAAACTCCTTGTGCCCCTGCTCGGGAGCGAGGTTCAGCTCTGCTCAACCCTATTAGACAGCAGAGAATCCACATGGCAGCAGTTGCAAAAAAAAAACCCCATCGATTTAAGACAACTTGCCGCAGGATGGGGTGGGATTTTGGCAACCTGGCTGCTCATGGCTTGGACGGGCGTACTCTTCTCTGGGTAAAACACTGGCTGGACGGCCGGGCCCAAAGAGTTGTGGTGAATGGAGTT